ATGAGCACGCAGAATTTACCTCCAACGTCGTCTTCGTTCTACTACTCTCTCTTTACCTTCCCTTCTTGCTGATGGACCCTCCTTTAATCCTGACTCTCTCATTGACTTCTTGACAACGACTGATTTACTCCACAAACTCTGATGATGATACCTTTCGCACTCCCCTCAGCCCTTTCTAGTTCAGTCTCTTGCTGCCCTTTACCCTTTCACCATCCACTGCCCAGCTGTTATCCGTAACCTATTACTCGTCCATCTCCCTTTTGCCACCTGATGCCCTCGTTTCCTTCCTGTCCTGCAGCGCTGTATAGCCCTTGTGGCTTAGCGCTTCTTTTTGATTATAATAATAATAATAATCCCTTCTCAATAATGAAATATCCTCCATTGGGAATCTGTAAAAATTTCAGAACCTTATCCTCAAATGGCTCTGATATGACTGCGTGGTCACATACTCTGTAAAATAAACAAACATTTGTTAATTTGGGAACTACTTTCTCTGTAACAACTGGCAACTGAGTAGCCTCCAGGGAGTCACCACATCCCTGGACCTCATCCAGTTGCTTCAGTCAGCGTATTCACTCCCAGCACCGAGATCCCCCCAAATTGGCTTTTACGTAGACCGGTTCATCACTGCCCAGAGTCTCCTGCAGGTCAAACTGAATGGACAGGCTCCCCAGGCCCAAACTGTCACCACAGTCAGTAGAAAGATCAAGGCGAGGCACAGAAGTTCATTCTCTGCTCACCTAGCTGGTCATTAGTACACTGAAAATTTTTAGCCACAGTAGCTTCAGTTTTCACCTTAAAACCTTGTAACTCAGGGTCCCTCCAAACCAAACATTCCTCATTTTTGAGGAGACCCATAACATTGTTGCCTAGTAATAGATCAACACCTGGAAAAGTTGTTGACTCTACCCACAATCTATGTACAGGAGTCCTAAAAGTGGATCCTGAAAGCCCTTTAAAAAAATATCTTTTCCAGTGTAAGTATTTTCTGACACTGGTAATGCATCCTTGCGTAAAAGAGAGAACGTGCTACATCCGCCCCTTAAAGACATAACACCTATCCTACCTTCATTTCGGTGCAAGGTCACTGTGGACTTGCTTGAAAATACCTCCATCCGAGGGTCGAAAATAGCTTAATTTTCTGGTTTACTCTGGGGTAAAACTGCAATATAAGCTAATGCATGTGTAACTGGGGTACTTGAGAGTCCTGTGCAGCAGTCTGGTTCTTAAGCATCTCTCTGCAATACTGCTGTAAATGACCCTTCTTATTACAGTAAGTACAATTATAAATTTTAAAGGTACCATGCCCATACGGTACCATACCTATACAGTATGTCAATGACGTCAGTTACTTCTGGTATAGTAGTAATATCATATACATGCAGAAATACAAGTTATTATTATTATTATTATTATTATTATTAATGTTTATAGGGGGGCCACAGATATATCAGATCACTTTTTAGTTGTAGCTACACTGAGAGTAAAAGGTAGATGGGATACAACGAGAATAGAAGCATCAGGGAAGAGAGAGGTAAAGGTTTATAAACTAAAAGAGGAGGCAGTTAGGGTAAGATATAAACAACTATTGGAAGATAGATGGGCTAATGAGAGCATAGGCAATGGGGTCGAAGATGTATGGGGCAGGTTTAAAAATGTAGTTTTAGAGTGTTCAGGAGAAGTTTGTGGTTACAGGAAAGTGGGTGCGGGAGGGAAGAGGAGCGATTGGTGGAATGATGATGTAAAGAGAGCAGTAAGGGAGAAAAAGTTAGCATATGAGAAGTTTTTACAAAGTAGAAGTGATGCAAGGAAGAAAGAGTATATGGAGAAAAAGAGAGAGGTTAAGAGAGTAGCGAAGCAATGTAAAAAGAGAGCAAATGAGAGAGTGGGTGAGATGTCAACAAATTTTGTTAAAAATAAGAAAAAGTTTTGGAGTGAGATTAACAAGTTAAGGAAGCCTAGAGAACAAATGGATTTGTCAGTTAACAGGAGAGGAGAGTTGTTAAATGGAGAGTTAGAGGTATTGGGAAGATGGAGGGAATATTTTGAGGAATTGTTAAATGTTAATGAAGATAGGGAAGCTGTGATTTCGTGTATAGGGCAAGGAGGAATAACATCTTGTAGGAGTGAGGAAGAGCCAGTTGTGAGTGTGGGGAAGTTCGTGAGGCAGTAGATAAAATGAAAGGGGATAAGGCAGCTGGGATTGATGGGATAAAGATAGAGATGTTAAAAGCAGGTGGGGATATAGTTTTGGAGTGGTTGGTGCTATTATTTAATAAATGTATGGAAGAGGGTAAGGTACCTAGGGATTAGCAGAGAGCATGTACAGTTCCTTTGTATAAAGGCAAAGGGGACAAAAGAGTGCAAAAATTATAGGGGGATAAGTCTATTGAGTATACCTGGTAAAGGGTATGGTAGAGTTATTATTGAAAGAATTAAGAGTAAGACGGAGAACAGGATAGCAGATGAACAAGGAGGCTTTAGGAAAGGTAGGGGGTGTGTAGACCAAGTGTTTACAGTGAGACATAAGTGAACAGTATTTAGATAAGGCTAAAGAGGTTTTTGTGGCATTTATGGATTTGGAAAAGGCGTATGACCGGGTGGATAGGGGGGCAATGTGGCAGTTTTGCAGGTGTATGGTATAGGAGGTAGGTTACTGAAAGCAGTGAAGAGTTTTTACGAGGATAGTGAGGCTCTAGTTAGAGTATGTAGGAAAGAGGGAGATTATTTCCCAGTAAAAGTAGGCCTTAGACAAGGATGTGTGATGTCACCGGGGGTTGTTCAATATATTTATAGATGGGGTTGTAAGAGAAGTAAATGCGAGAGTCTTGGCAAGAGGCGTGGCGTTAAAAGATAAAGAATCACACATAAAGTGGGAGTTGTCACAGTTGATTTTTGCTGATGACACTGTGCTCTTGGGAGATTCTGAATAGAAGTTGCAGATTTTGGTGGATGAATTTGGTATGGTATGTAAAAGAAGAAAATTAAAAGTGAATACAGGAAAGAGTAAGGTTATGAGGATAACAAAAAGATTAGGTTATGAAAGATTGGATATCAGATTGGAGGGAGAGAGTATGGAGGAGGTGAATATATTCAGATATTTGGGAGTGGACGTGTCAGCGGATGGATCTATGAAAGATGAGGTGAATCATAGAATTGATGAAGGGAAAAGGGTGAGCGGTGCACTTAGGAGTCTGTGGAGACAAAGAACTTTGTCCTTGGAGGCAAAGAGGGGAATGTATGAGAGTATAGTTTTACCAACTCTCTTATATGGGTGTGAAGCATGGGTGATGAATGTTGCAGCGAGGAGAAGGCTGGAGGCAGTGGAGATGTCATATCTGAGGGCAATGTGTGGTGTGAATATAATGCAGAGAATTCGTTAGTTTGGAAGTTAGGAGGAGGTGTGGGATTGCCAAAACTGTTGTCCAGAGGGCTAAGGAAGGGTTGTTGAGGTGGTTCGAACATGTAGAGAGAATGGAACGAAACAGAATGACTTCAAGAGTGTATCAGTCTGTAGTGGAAGGAAGGAGGGGTAGGGGTCGGCCTAGGAAAGGTTGGAGAGAGGGGGTTAAAGGAGGTTTTGTGTGCGAGGGGCTTGGATTTCCAGCAACCATGCGTGAACGTGTTTGATAGGAGTGAATGGAGACAACTGGTTTTTAATACTTGACGTGCTGTTGGAGTGTGAGCAAAGTAACATTTATGAAGGGATTCAGGGAAATCGGCAGGCCGGACTTGAGTCCTGGAGATGGGAAGTACAGTGCCTGCACTCTGAAGGAGGGGTGTTAATGTTGCAGTTTAAAAACTGTAGTGTAAAGCACCCTTCTGGCAAGACAGTGATGGAGTGAATGATGGTGAAAGTTTTTCTTTTTCGGGCCACCCTGCCTTGGTGGGAATCGGCCAGTGTGATAATAAAAAAATAAATTCACATTTTGTTGAACTTTCACTTCCTGATTCGAGCGCTGTTTACATTTTACAACATTATAATTATATAATAAAAAACTTGTTTTAAATCATTGGTTTGAAATATGAGCTTATGCAAGCAAATTTTCCCACAGTTGAGAGGTACATAAATGAGTCTCGAAAAGTTTTATGGAAAGACCAAAATAGCACGTCAGGAATGAAGAAAAATATCTGTTTTTCATCAAGGACCCATACGTGTTTTTATTACCTTTTGTGTTTATCAGACCAATAGTTGTCTTTATTACCCTTGGTTTTTTTTTATCAGGGAACAATAACAGTGTCTTTATTACCTTTTGCTTTCATCAAGGACTAACAAATTGTAGTAATAAAGACGCTGTTGTTTTTATTAAAGACCAATAACAATGTCTTTATTACCCTTTGCTTTTATTAGGGACCAATAAGAGTGTCTGGATTACCTTTTTTTATATATATTAAACGTTTTGACTCACCCGTAAAGTGCAGATACCCTATTGTTCATGAGAGTTAATGTTTGTGAAAGGCAGTATTGTGCAGCTACGTAATTCACTATGAGTTTTAATGTGGGAACAAAACATGATCATCTTTACCAGTCATGTTACATCAGCCTCAGCTGGAAGAGAGTATTACTGAGATATGAATATCGTCGAGCATTCCTCTGCGGGTTTACCGGCTGAGAATACTTGACGATATCATCAGAGTTGACGAAGTTGACATTTGAGAATCTTTTTTTGTGAAAACGTTTCCTCAGCAAGTGGCTTCCTCAGTCTTCAGAAAAGCGCAGCATAAGCTACTTTTTCGGGTATATGCCGTACTTTTCTCAAGACTGATGGACCCAAACGCATTGACCGAGGGACTAATCACCTCGAACTCCTTCTCATCTTCTACCATTCATCTCTGTGCCAGACTGACAAAGCCACTTATTGGCGAAACGTTTCCACAGTAGAAAAGTGTCTAATTTTTGAACTTGTCGAATTTCAAAGACTTATGCAGGAGAGGCGAGAGAGACAAGCAAGAAACACCGTCATTATTTATCTTTTCTTCCCCCTTCCAATTTATCTCAGTGGCTGCCACATCAGACATCTGTCCAGCCCCAGAACCAGTGATTCTGCCTACAGTAGCATCCTGGGCGCATTCTACGACCCTCTCAACGCTTACGTGTACTACGTTGTGTGCAACGGCAAGGGCTGGTGGCAGTCTGGTGCCAAGGGTCAGATGAGTCAGTGCCTCAACGGCACGTGGTCCACAATTACTGACAAATGTATTGAACGTGAGTAGACTCTGCCTTAAAAATTTAATTATTATTATTTTTCATAGGAAGCATGAAATATTAGGGGATATAAAAGTGCCCAGAGAGTGAGTTCTAATGAGGTATAATACAAGGAAAGGAAGAATGGCCTTTAATCCATGAATCAAGAGCTTTTCATCCGCCTCATGACCTCTCCGTCTCATGAAAATTATTTACACTGGCAGACTATTTTTATCTGTTCTATTATTGTTATATCGAAAGTGGACAGCTAAAGCTTTATTTGTCATGCAGCGCTCGAGTTAAACTAAAAAATGGCCAAGTTTGGCTGGAGGAAGGGGAAGGTAGCTCAAATTTATTAAATCAAGTGACAATTACTAGTGTCATGGACCACTTGCACCTCCCACCCCCTTTCTTGAAGAACGCTTCTCCCCTCGTTTTTGAACCCTCCTCCTAACCACATTCTTGAAGAACCCTCCTCCCACCCCCCCTTTTTGAAGAACCCTCCTCCCACCCCCCTTTTTGAAGAACCCTCCTCCCACCCCCCTTTTTGAGAAACCCCCCTCTTACCCCCTATTCTTGAAGACCCTTTCCTTACCCCTTTCCTCATGAAAAACCCCTTTCCCTTTACCCCTTCCTCATGAAAACTTTCCTTTTTCCCTACCTTTTGAAGAGCCCTTCCTTACCCGTCTTTTTGAAGACCCTTTCCCTTTCCCCTCTCTTAAAGACCCTTCCTTACCCCTCTTCTTAAAGACCCCTTCCCCTTCCCCCTCTTCTTGAAGAGCCCTTCCTTACCCCCCTTTAAAGAGCCCTTCCTTCCCCCTCTTTTGAAGAGCCCTTCCTTACCCCTCTTTTAAAGACTTTTTCCTTACCCCTTTTTGAAGGCCCTTCCTTCCCCCTCTTTTTGAAGGAGCCCTTCCTTACCCCCTTTTCTTAAAGAGCCTTCCTTCCCCTTTCTTAAAAGACCCCTTCCTTACCCCTCTTCTTGAAGAGCCTTCCCTTTACCCCCTTTTTTAAAAGACCCCTTCCTTACCCCCTTCCTCTTAAAACCCTTTCCCTTCCCCTTTCTTTTTTAAGAGAAAAATAATAAGAAATGATCCGGCAGGATAATTTAATTTCAGTTTTTTACCCCCTTTCAGTGGAAATGTTTTTAACTCTGACAGAGTAATGAAAAGTTACGAGAAGGTGAAACCCTTTTGCTCCCTGAGTGTGTTTGCTGGGTCCACCACGTGTGTCTTATTATTTTTATCCCGAGTGCTGCTTGCTGGGTCCACCAGAGGTGTGCGTTACTTTTGCTCCCTGATGGTTTGGGGGTCCCACCAGCGTGTGTGCGTTTTACTTTTACTCCTTATGGCTTACTGGGTCCCACCAGGTGTGTGCTTATTTTTTGCTCCCGATGCTGCTTCTGGTCCCCACCGGAGTTTTGTGCGTTACTTTTGCTCCCGAGTGCTGCTTGCTGGGTACCCCAGGGTGTGCTTTTATTTTACCCTTGAGTGCGTTTTAGGGGTACCCCCAGGGTGTGTAAACCTTTATTCTTTATAATTTATAAAAAACCGAAATTTTCTTCCCGTAAACGCAGTATCAATTCTTGAAGAATAGGCTAATACTAAAGAAAACTTTAAAATAAACTAAAATGCAATTTCCTTTCGAAAAAAAAATATAAATTTTCCGATCAAAAAAGGACGCGGGGGTGTGTTCCATCTAGGTATTCATACTTTATTAGACGAAATGATTCGCAAATTGGGTTTAATGGGGAAGGGTTACGAGTGACAGATTAATACAATTCCCCGGAAAGTTTTCGTGGAATGTCAATTGCCCCTGCATTGGGGTTTTGGTCAGTGTTGCATGGGTTTTTTTTTTTCTTTTTAACTGTTTAAAAACACTAAATGCCTTAGGGAAGGAACATAAAAACGCAATGATTTAAAAGTTTATTTCCAAAAAATTTAAAGAGGGGGGAAAAATGGGAAAAAACGGCACAAAAAAACTGCACTTAGGAGACTGAAAATTTTGACACGTTTGGTTTAGCTTGAACTGTGTGCCGAATAGGTAAAAATTTCTTAAATTAAATAACAAAAGCTCCCCTTGCCGAATGAGGCAAACTAAAATTTTTAATGAATAATTTTTGCAAAAATCATTCGAACCTAACGGAAAATAAATTATTTCATTGTTCGTTTATTATTAAAATTTTTGTAAACTTATCTAAAAAAATATTTATTTTATTAGGCTAAAATTTAAATTGCGCTTGTTATATAAGGTTATTAGTTTTCTAAGGGCTTTTGGGATGATTTTCAATTTTTTGTTAAAAATGAAAAATTATATCTTTGAACTATTTGAATTTTTTTTTAGAAAAGGGCTTAATTTTAAATGAGCTCTTTCTAATTGACCATATTCGACAGACAGACCATTAACTATTAATGGTCCAAGTTGGATCGAAAGTCGTCTTAAAAGCAATCCCTAATCAGGTTAATTTATTTTGCATCCTTATTTTTTCGAAACAAGCTTTTTAACGGCAAAGTATCGTTTTGGAAGGGTTTTCACCACGATTTTTAAACTGACACAAAATTTTACATAATGCTTTTAGAAAACTCTTAAAAAAGAAGGTGTATTGAACTCACGACACCGAAATTTTCACGCCCCCGGGGGGGTAAAAAAAAATTTTTATTTACTGGGAATGGCGATTGCTGGCGACTCTCTGTAAAACTGTAGTGTAGTTACAGTCTGTAGATATGACATTTTATCACTGAGATTCCGGCTAAAATTTTTTTAGTTAAGTGGCGACCGAGTGAGAAGGTGACACACTTGTAAATACGAGTTCGTGACTCCGAGTGCCATGTTTACATTGTAGTACAAACATCCACTGGCACTGAGAGCGCGCGCACAGACACACACACACACACACACACACACACACACACACACACACACACACACACACACACACACACACACTGGAGTTCTATGACATGGTGACAGCCGTAAGACAAGAGAGAGAGAGGTGGGTGGATTGCATTTTCTTGGACTGCAAGAAGGCGTTTGACACAGTTCCACAAAGGACAGCGCAAAAACTGGAGGACCAATCAGGGATAACAGGGAAGGCACTACAATGAATCAGGGAATACTTGTCAGGAAGACAGAAGCGAGTCATGATACGTGGCGAGGTGTCAGTGGGCACCTGTGACCAGCGGGGTCCCACAGGGGTCAGTCCTAGGACCAGTGCTGTTTCTGGTATTTGTGAACGACATGACGGAATGAATCGACTCCGAAGTGTTCCTGTTTGCAGATGACGTGAAGTTGATGAGAAGAATTCATTCGATCGAAGACCAGGCAGAACTACAAAGGGATCTGGACAGGCTGCAGACCTGGTCCAGCAATTGGCTCCTGGATTTCAACCCCACCAAGTGCAAAGTCATGAAGATCGGGGAAGGGCAAAGAAGACCGCAGACGGAGTACAGTCTAGGGGGCCAGAGACTAAAACCTAGCTCAAGGACAAAGATCTTGGGGTGAGTATAACACCAGGCACATCTCCTGAAGCGCACATCAACCAAATAACTGCTGCAGCATATGGGCGCCTAGCAAACCTCAGAACAGCATTCCGACATCTTAATAAGGAATCGTTCAGGACCCTGTACACCGTCTACGTTAGGCCCATATTGGAGTATGCGGCAACAGTTTCGAACCCACACCTAGCCAAGCACGTAAAGAAACTAGAGAAAGTGCAAAGGTTTGCACTTACGAGGAGAGGTTAAGGGAAATCAACCTGACGACACTGGAGGACAGGAGAGATAGGGGGGACATGATAACGACATACAAAATACTGAGAGGAATTGACAAGGTGGACAAAGACAGGATGTTCAGAGATGGGACACAGCAACAAGAGGATACAGTTGGAAGTTGAAGACACAGATGAATCACAGGGATGTTAGGAAGTATTTCTTCAACCACAGAGTAGTCAGGAAGTGGAATAGTTTGAGAAGCGATGTAGTGGAGGCAGAATCCATACATAGCTTTAAGCAGAGGTATGATAAAGCTCACGGTTCAGGGAGAGTGACCTAGTAGCGACCAGTGAAGAGGCGCGGCCAGGAGCTTGGACTCGACCCCTGCAACCTCAACTAGGTGAGTACACGCACAAGCGCGCACACAGACACACACACACACACACACACACACACACACACACACACACACACACACACAACACACACACACACACACACTCACGCGCACACACTCACGCGCACACACACGCACACACACGCACACACACACGCACACACGCACACACACGCACACACACGCACACTCACGCACACACACACTCACGCGCACACACACACACACACACACGCACACACACACGCACACACAGGGGTCAGTTCTAGGACCAGTGCTATTTTTGATATATGTGAACGACATGATGGAAGGAATAGACTCTGAAGTGTCACTATTCGCAGATGATGTGAAGTTGACGAGAAGAATTAAATCGGATGAGGATCAGGCAGGACTGCAAAGAGACCTGGACAGGCTGGACATGTGGTCCAGTAACTGGCTTCTCGAATTCAATCCAGCCAAATGCAAAGTCATGAAGATTGGGGAGGGGCAAAGAAGACCGCAGACAGAGTATAGGCTAGGTGGACAAAGACTACAGACCTCACTCAGGGAGAAAGACCTTGGGGTGACCATAACACCGAGCACATCACCGGAGACACACATCAACCAAATAACTGCTGCAGCATACGGGCGCCTGGCAAACCTGAGAATAGCTTTCCCGAAATCTTAATAAGGAATCGTTCAAGACACTGTACACTGTGTACGTTAGGCCCATACTGGAGTATGCAGCCCCAGTCTGGAACCCACACCTGGTCAAGCACGTCCAAGAAGTTAGAGAAAGTACAAAGGTTTGCAACAAGACTAGTCCCAGAGCTCAGGGAAATGTCGTATGAGGAAAGGTTGAGGGAGATCGGACTGACGACACTGGAGGACAGAAGGGTCAGGGGAGACATGATAACGACATACAAGATACTGCG